AGCCAGGTTTGGCTGGTTGTCAGGAAGGGGGCACCTGAACTTCAGGCAGAGAGTAATCGCCCCCCTGCAGAGGCAAGGTCTTTATCACACTCAAGGTCAGAAGGGGGCTGCCAAGGGGAAGCTTGAAGGGAGATTTAGGGCCAAGGGTGAGGGAGAATTGGGATTCAGCCTGGCACCCCTGCTCCTGCCCCAGCTTTTCTTCTCAGCCTAGAGGCTGACCATGGGGCCTTCTATCCACAGCTGACTCACAAAGTGGGGAGTGTGTGGCAGCACCCTTGGCAGTGGATGACAGGGCAAGTAACTCCTGTCCCTCACTATGTAGCAAAGGATGCCTTGAGGTCTCTGTGGAAGCCTGGCCATGATGTCTAGCCAACTGAGGCTTTTGGTTTGGATTCAGTTCGGTCTTAGACCAGGGATCAGCTGTAGCCCCAGCTCCTCTGCTGACTAGCTGAATGACCTTGCAAAAGTCAAGACTCAGTCTCAGTTTTCCCAACTGCAAAATGGGGCCAATGTTCAGAATCAGAGAGGAAAATTTATGTGAATGGATTTTGTAAACTAAGTGAAATGTTATTTTAAGTTCCGAGGAGGAGAGAGGACAGGGAGAGCTATTAATAGGTGAAAGAGAGAGGGTGTACCTGAGCAGGGCTAAAGCTGAAGCACAAACCCACTGACTATGGGCACGTAGTGAAGTCTTCCTACTCCTCTGCCTACTTTCAAAGGTCAATGACATCATGAGCTGTCTCAAAAAGGGCTTATGTTTTTATATGGAGGCCCTGGCACCTCGGAAGAAAGGCCTGGCAAGCTACTTCAGAAAAATCAGCCACTGAATACCATATGGAACACTGTTCTACTCTGACACACATGGGATCACTGTGAGTCAGAAGTGAGTCAATGGTAACTGGTTTGGGTTACACGTATAGAAAATGTTCCTGTGTGTATGTGGTGGAGGCAGGAGGATGATGAGGGCAGGTGGGCATGGGGAAACGTTAGCAAGTTCCTCAACTTCTCTGCTTCATATTTTAATGTACACCTTGACCACAAAATCCTCTTGCCTGAAGTTGCTGGGAGTATCAAGTGCATACTTGGGACATGGTGGGCAGAAAATAAATGTTTTTTAGTAACAACCTATGGCAAGAATATTAGAGAAGTGAGAAGAAGACAGGAGGATGGGAAGCATTGGAGCTAGCCTGAAGGCTTGCCTTGGAGGCGGAGAGTCAGAGGGCCAGAGGGTTACATACAGCAACTTCAGCCAGCCTTAGAAAGACTGGTTCTCCCAACCTAGTGGGCCCCAGGCAAGGCTGGAGTTGCACTGTGTCCCAACAAGAACCCTTTTGCCCTTCAGGGACTGTATGGTCCATAGGCTTCCTGTGAGCTCCTTGCATACTCAGCTGTCCACCAGCTGGGTGGAGGGTGGACAAGGAGGGCTGGAGGAAAAGGGGTGAAGGTGATGGACCCAGGAGAGCTGAGTGCCTGGAAAGCTGATGGAGGTCTTGCTGCATAGATAGTGAAAGGGATTGTTCCAGGACCATGAGGGCTCAGGGTGCAATACAAGGGAGCATGGACCTGAATGCCTCAGGAATGTGTCAGGCACAGCAACACCCCTCCCTTCACACTCAGCCTCTGCAGCCCTCCTGTAAGTCTTCCTTCTCTTTCCTCTCACACCCCTTCTCTAAAGTGACTCCTTATGTGCCACCCAACTTCTCCCACAACCCCCCAATGCTGGGCACCTCAATTTGTCTCTCTCCCACAACACACAGATGACTGTACTTCCCAAGCTCCAAAGAGGGACCTATGGTCTAACCATGGCCAGAGTATCAGGGTAGGTACAGGTACCTGCTGGACTTGGAACATGCCACATACTCCCCAAACATCTGCTCAGAGAGGATCAAAACACCCCAGGGTGCTCAGTTCATTTCACAGAAGGAAAAGTGAGTCCTGAACCATGTTGTCACTTGAGAGTTGGAGCAAATATAGCAGGGGCACTCAAGTGGAGGGAGGGTTTTGGCTGCAAATGTAAATTTTAGCTCTGCAAGCTCCTCAGGGTGCCATGCATCTCAACATAACTGGTGTGTGTGTGTGTGTGTGTGTGTGTGTGTGTGTGGCTCACTGTGGCCCCAGAGCCATGTAGGCAGGTCATCTTAGAGCTTGGAACCAAGAGGTTCAGAAGCAAGAAGAGTCTCAGGTATAATGAGATTAGTCCTATTATTGAAAAAGAAACCTCATCTCAAGATTTCACTCAGAAGAGATGGGGAACAGGCTTTCTTCATGGGAAAGTCCCTCATGGCTCAACTCTTCTCATGCCCCATCTCTCCACCTTTCTGCCCAGCCTCAGAGTCCTGAGTGGGTGCAGAATTTCCATCTGACTCTGCTCCTGGCTGTTGTCTGCCTGGCTGCTCTTTGTCAGCATTAACCTAGGCTTGGAGGCTGCAGACCTCTGCCCCTCCTTCTAGCTGGGTCTCACATGGAGAGGGTCCAAGCAGCCCCCAGGCAGCCCCTGTGGGACAAGCACCCTATCGGAAGCAGAGGGCTTGCAGTCAGTCACCCTTGTATTTTTACCCTGTTCTCCCAAATTCCCCACCAGGGGTTATCCCCAGTCCCTGCAGACTCCCTCATCCCTCCCTTCACCCTCTACCACCCTGCATTTCTGCACTGCTCAGTCATTCCAGATCTTTAGAAAGCAGGCTCTCAGTGACAGCCCCAGAACCTCTCTGGGGTCCCGACCATCTGATGAAGGCCCCGTGGTGGGCCTAAGAGGGCGGTACATTCTATCTTGAGAAGTTATTTCATTTTTCTGACCCTCAGTTTTCTCATATGTAAAATAGGGCTAAGCTCAAATTAACTTATGTAAAGCTCACTACACTGTACCTAGTATATGATAAATGTCTTCAAGCACTGTTTATGTATGCTGTAGTTAATAGCTATTCTCAGTTCAATCACCAACCCTCCCCACTGACCCTGGCTTCCTGTTGATAACAACAACTACTATTTGTGGGGAGTTTATGAGTGGCCGGCACTATGCCGTTTGCTCATTTTATCCCAGTATTTATTTAAACCAAAAAAAACCAAACTCACTGCTACGGAATCAGATCCAACTTGTAACAACCCCTCCTTGGGTCTGAGGTGGTATCACTACAGAAGTAGATTGCCCAACCTTCCTTCCGAGCAGTAGCTGGTGGGTTTGAACTACCAGCCTTCTGGTTAGCAGTCAAATGCCTTAGGCACTACGTCACCAGAGCTCCTAGCATTTATTTAGAGCTGAGGAAATCAAGGCTTGGAGTAAATGATTTACCCAATTTTAACCATCTATTAAGTGCAGAGGGAGAGTGCCAAGGCAGGGCTCTTGGACATTATATGGTCCCTTTCAAACCACAGAAGGAGCTATGGTGGTGCAGTGGTTAAAGTATTTGCCTGCTAGCCAAAGGTCATTGGTTCGAGCCATGAGCCTCTTTGCAGGAGAAAGATGAGGCAGTCTGTTTCCATAAAGATTTATAGTCTTGGAAACCCTATGGTGCAGTTCTACTCTATCCAAAAGGGTTACTGAGTTGGAATCAACTCGATGGCAGTGGGTGGGTTCAATCCACAGCAGTAGCTGGGTGGTGCAATGGTTAAAGCACTCTGCTGCTAACCAAAAGGTTAGAGGTTTGGGTTCACCCAGAGGCACTTAGAAGAAAGGCCTGGTGAGCTTCTGAAAATCCAGCCACTGAAAACCCTATGGAGCAAAGTCCTAGTCTGACACACATGCTTTGCCATGAATCATGTTGGCTTGACAGCAACTGGTTTGTTTTTCCAACCCATAGCCCCACAGTAAGCTCACTGGGCACCTGGTGAGGTTCCCGAGAGAAAGCCCAACATCAAGTTGCCTCCTTTCCCAGTCAGCCCCAAAGCCAGAGATGAAGAGTAATGGTTTATTGAGTCATATGGCAATGGTGGGTTGTCTTTATAAAAGAAAGAAGCATCAAGGAGAGAAGTCTGACATGGCAGGGAGACAATTCACATGGAGGTCAAAGTCTGGAGGATGGAGAGAGGGAAGCTTGTCCCAAACAGAGCTTCATTTACAGTATTTACAGTCAGGTGTGGGGACAAGAGCTGTGAGGCACCCAAAAGTGAACCTCCATTGTTGGTTTCAAGGGGCTACACTTCAGGGTCTCTTTAGACATGGTAGGCTTGGACTGCAGGAAGCACACTGGCTTGGAAAGAGCTATTAGGAAAGGGAAGCGAGTCCCCAGTATTCCGCCCTGCTCTGCCCTGGGCACGAGATGCACCTTACACCGTCCCAGGGACCAGGAGCCAGGGGCCCTTTGGAATGTTTGTCCCAAGCTGTTTTAGGTTGGCCTAGCTGATGGCAGCTCCTGGATGAGAACCCAGAGTGGTGTTTGTACATTCACAGGAGCAGGCAAAGGAAGGTCAGTTGGTAATAGGGTACAGTTTTGGATTGACTAGACCCAGCTCTCAGCCCATACCCAAGAAAGAGGCATAGGAAGAGCCAAGCAAAGTGAGTGAAAAAGGTGGGCAGGCGGGGAGGTGACTGTCAGGGTCGCTGGGGGAGAACGCCTTTGCACTGGGCTATGGTTTGTGGGTTGGATGGGAGTGATAACAGCCCACAATTGCTAGAGCTGTGTTGATGACAGAGTCAGGAGGCACCCTTGTTCACCCCTCAGGCCATCCCCTCAAGATTGTCCAGCTGTTCCCTCTTCTCTCCTTTGGTGGGAAGCCGCCGGGGGCCAGTGTCTCCTCTGATTTTGTCTCTTGCAGAATGGGATGATTCTCTTTCCCTGGGACTCCTGCCCCTCTTTAAGGAGTCTTAGAGGATAGTTTGGCCTTCTCCAAGGTCATTGTGTCTTTCATGGTTCATTAAATTAACCACACGGGGAGTGAGCCGCAATGCTGGACTTGTGGTTATTTTTCATGTAATAAATAAAGATTCCTTTGTGTGACTCTCTGGGGCCTGTCCCAGGCTGAGTCCTCCTGTTGCTCAGTCGCTCCCACTGTCCCCATGGCAACTACAGATGGTCAAAGGCCGTAGCAGTGGTGGGCGGTGCACTCGGCCTTGATGTGGAACTGTAATAATATGGGGAACCTGGACATGTTAAAAAAAATAACAACACTGCTGGTCAGAAGGGGAAATTGCACCATAGTTTTCCCCTGCATCTGCTGACCTTTAAGACAGCACAAGTTAATCATTTATCCCTCTTGCCTATCTGATCATCAAAGATTAACTCCTCTCTGGCCCTATTTCCTCCTTCTCTGGCCTCACCTTTGAGTTTCTGGCCAGAATGAGAGGAGTTGCTTCTCTGCCCCCTTCCCTGATAATTGCTTTGACCTTCAACACCCTCAATTAAGGGAGAGGGCAATAGAGAACATTACATCTGGAACCCTGAGGACCCAAGCATACTGGGAGATAATATGGATCTTCCATAGCCTTGCACAAACAGGACCAGGTCAGATAACCTTCATCTTAAAGCCCAGGGGTGAGAATCTGGATTGGTCAAAGGGATCAGGTTTGAGGCCCAGGACAGGATAGGCATCCAGGAGACCCAGCAGGAAGATGCCTTGGTGCTTCAGCCCACCTCACTGTCCTCCATTATGGTTAAACTGAACAGAAAGGTGGCTTGGGGTTGAACTCATCTGGGCAGTAGAGCCCAGGTCAGCCATCATGCTTGTCACTTCTGCAACTCCAGAACCAGGAGGAGAGGGGACATTTACGGAATGGTGGTCCTGCCAGGCCTGAGAGATGGTCCAGCAGGGCCAGCCATATTTGCATTGTTGATTTTCTCTGGCTTTAGGTTCTCTATGAGACCCAAGGCCATCATGGAAGTATGGTCTCACAAGCTTCTCTTTCTAGGGGATGGGTTTCCTAAAAAACCCAACCCAGGGTCCCAGGATGAGAAAGAGGTTATGAATTGCCTTGCAGTTGATTCTCTGGATGTCGCCACTGAATGTTGTCCACTTCTTTCAAAGCAAATATCAGGGAACATGGTGGAGCAAAGGATTACTGAGTAAGAATTTCGATGCTGAGCCATTTAGATGGTAAACATGGATGGCAGGAGAGCATTCTAGGTATTGGAAAGCTCCCAAGACAAGGGCAGCTGTGCCTCTTAGTCAGTGTCTGCTTTTGGACTGTAAGCCCCGGGGGCAGGAGGTCCTCTCTTCAACTCTTCAACTTTTCTTGTGCCCACCCTTTCCCCTCCCCTCAAGATCTGAGCCCAGAACCTTACATAAAACAAGACTTAATGGACACAGTCTTGGGTACTAGGAGGGAGACTGCTGCAGGCAAGTCTCTTCCCTCTGCCCTCTTTCTCACAAACAACCAGGTACACTGCTCTGCTTCTACCTCCTTGGGCTCTACAAACATCACCTGTCTCTTCAAGCCCTTCCTCTAACGTAGGGGCTCCAAGCTTTCAGACACATTTTGATCAAACACCCATCCCACCCCACACAGCAGAGGGCCTGTGTGGCCCCAGAGGCAACTTACTCAGCAAGCTGGAGTTGGGGAAGCGCCAGGCCTCACTGTAGGAGGAGTAGGGGGTGTGGCTGTAGGTGTTGCCAGAGTACTCACTTCCTGTTGGAGGCACACAGGAGAGAGACCTGTGAGGTGGTAGGCAGCACTGTCGGGGCTGGCAGTGAATGAGCCTGGGGGGCCCAAATAGCAGGGACAGTAGAGTTCAGAAGGCCCCTCCATCATTCCTTGGGGAGCCCTTCAGCCTGCATCATTTTGGGTGATGACGTTTTTGCCACATCCTAGAGGTACTTCCCTGACACTGACAGGCTGCAATCCTCACAGAAGCCCCAGGAAGTAGAGCTTATTATCGTCATTTTCCTTGTAAAAAAAATTGAGGGTCAGAGATCTGTAGAAGCTCACACAGCTGGACCGTTTGGTGAATTTGGAAGTTGTGCTATGACTCCAGGGTCCAGCTTGTAACTGCTGCTTCTATTACTGTCTGGACCTTCTGCAGAAAGGCCTTTTTGGGAGGGACCCCTGGAGGGTTTTAGAGGTGAAAGAGAAATCTGTAATGTATGTATGTAGGTGGAATCCCTGGATGGTGAATATGGTTAATGTGCTTGGCTACTAACTGAAAGAGTGGAGGTTCAAGTCTACTCAGAGGTGCCTGAGAAGGAAGGCCTGGTGATCTACTTCTGAAAAATCAGTGACTGAAAATCCTTTAGAGCACAGTTCTACTCTGACACACATGGGGTCACCATGAGTCAAAACTGATTTGGTGTCATCTGGTACATATGCATGTAAACTTTTTAGCCTGCTAAGCACAAATGAGTTTGTTGAGGAGGAGTACATTTATGTATGTGTGTGTGTGTGATTAAGAAAAGAAGAGACAAGAACTTGGAGAGCACAAACCACCTATGTATGCTCTTGGAGAAGCTGGGTCCTGAGCTTTGAGGAGTTAGCTGTTCCATGCTGAGTCCATCACTTTAAGCAACTCAGTGCATGAATTGACACAAAGTAAATTAGATCATCTCCATCTGTGAATGGATTCTTGGCTTTACACAAGGAATTACCACTGGAATCCTTTAAATTACAACAAAGTCAGCTATAGTCACCACAACTACCATTGGTAAGAGCTTAACGTTTGCAAAGCACTTTCACACACATCTTACTTGTTTATTCTCAGTATCATCCTATGAAGTGCTCATTGATACTGTCAATTTGTGGAAGAGGTATTTGAGTGCAGCAAGATTAAGTAGTTTGCCTCAAATCACACTGTTGGTAAGTGGCAGAACAGACCTTGACCTTGGGCTCTTAATTCTAAATTCCAGATAATCCCTTTATGCACTTAAAAGATGATTCTGTTTACACAGCAAGGTTCCTGCCAACCCTGAGATCCAATGAATGTCTATGCAGTCTTTCAAAAACTCATCTACTATTGTGAGCTAAGTGCCCTCTGTGGCTTATAATCTCCTTCCCAGACTCTCTATTGGGCAGGCTTGAAACCCCTCATTCTGGAATTGGACTGCCCTGAGTCAAATCCTCACTCTCCACTTACTACTATGTAACCTTGCACAAGGCATTTAACCTCTTTGAGCCTTGATTTTTCTCATCCGTGAAATGGGGCAAATCATTGTGCTTATTGTATTGGGTTGTAGCAAAGATCAAATGAGACAAACACACATTAAATCCATATAATACCAAAAAAACCAAACTCTAAACTCACTGCCATCGCATAGGTTCTGATTCACGCTCCAAGGAGCGACCCCTCCTTTAATATCTGAGGCAGTATTTCTACAGAAGTAGATTGGATCTTAACTTTTATTATTTTCCCATCAAACAGGTGTTAAAATAAAGTTCAGCAGAGGTTCAAATTTGTCATATAATCAGTGATAAATCCTGGCTGGGGCTGCTTCTTTACCAGAGAAGTGGGTATTGGCACAGGAGAAATGGAAGTGAAGAGGAAGAGCGTAAAGCAGAGGAAGGCTACTGGATGCTCCATTTTTTGGGAGTCAGGGATAGGCAGTGAGACAGCAAGTTCCACAGGAATAATGTCTAACACACACACAAATAAAAGAACAAACTCACTGCCAATGAGTCGGATCCAACTCATAGTGACCCCTCCTTGGCTTTCCAAGGCAGTATCACTACAGAAGTAGATTGCCCAATCTTTCTTCCAAGGAGCAGCTGGTGGGTTTAAACCACCAGCCTTCTGGTTAGCAGTCTTAGGCACTATGCCACCAGAACTCCTTCTGTCTAACAGAAAATTAAAAAAAAAAAAAAAAAGGAAAACTAAAAGTTGATCTGACACAACCGTGTGTTTCAGAAATGAAGGAGCTGCTAGTTAGAAAGGGGAAGACATTTGTCAAAGGCCACACATTCAATGAGAGCTGAAATACAGCCCTGGCCCCCTAACTCCTACTCCAGTGCTCTTCCTTGTATCCCACGGATCAGCTTTACTGCTGATGTACCCCAGAGCTGGTTTCAGTTAGGTCCTTGGAGGAAATGCATTCCTTGCTACACTGGCTACATAGCAAGGGTTCTCTGACACTTTACCCTGTCCCACGCAATGTCAAACACTCCCGGCTCAATGTGGAAAAAGAAAAACGTGTTTGTGTTCTCATTTTGCTACTCATTCATACATTCTTATACATTCATACTCATTCACCACTTATTCATTATTTAACTTACACTTACTGAGTACCTATCTGCCTCAGTCACATGGAAATTGGGGTAAAGTCAAGGGGTTGGTACACTCTGGGTGCAGCATCGTCCCACCACCAGATATTTCAACCTGTCTGCAGCCACAGCACATGAAATGTCCCTGAGCCTAAGAAAGGCTAATGCCACCTCTTTGCTCTGCATCCCACCCTACCCACCTTCCCAGGGACTTGGCTCCTATGATTATTCCCTCTCTTTTTTTGCTTCATCAATCTTTCCTTTGTAAATTCATTATTCTCTTCATCCTGTAAACATGCTCTGGTATCTTCTATCTTTTAAAAGTTCTCTCCTACCCCCATAATCACCTCCAGCTATCAGTCCATTTCTCTGCTCCATAATCTCTTTCTTCACCTTCTTGTTTTCCTCCAACCAGGTCACTAATGATCCCTTCAAAATCCCTACAACCTCTATTCTAATCATTCCAATAATCACTTCTATGTCACTCACTCAACCTCTTAGTGGACTTGGATTCAGCTCTTCACAACATCTATGGCTTTCACATATCCACTCTCCTGGTTTGCTTCCTAACTCACTGGGCTTTCCTATTCAGTTTTCTTTGCTGGTTCCCTCTTTGTTAGACTTCAAAATGTGGAAGAACTCCAGGGTTTCGTTTGCCGGCCTTCTGTGCTTTCCCAGCTCCTTCTCTTTCTAGTGATCTTATCTAATCCCTTGGAATTAAACAATACCCCTGTGCAATGGCTGAAATTTATACCCAGAATTCTTCCTGACTTCACACATATCATGGGCCTATTGACTTATTTAATTGGGAACTTACTAGGACAAACAGAGCTCTTGATTTCCACCTTCCAACTCACTAAACATGTTCCTTTTCTAGTCTCCCACTGCCATTCGTACAGTTTCCCAAGTCCAAAACCTAGAGTCACCCTTGTTTCCTCTATTTTCTCACCCCTATAACTAATTCACCAGCAAGTCATGTTGGCTATACCACCAAAACATAGCCTCAGTGTTCATATCTCCCACCTTAGTCCAAGTTACTATCATCTCTTGCATGAACTACTGCAATAGCCTGCTAACTGATCTCTATGCTTCCTTTCTTAACTTTCTACAATCCATTCTTCAAACAAACTAAGTAGTCTTTTAAAACTTGGCCCAATCGTTATCAACATCCTCATCTTGTAGTGTTTTCCTCCCTTACTCTCTATTTTCTAGATAGACTCACCCCCTTTCTGTGAGCTATTATGCTCAACCAGTTCCTGCCTTAGGGCCTTTGCACTTACTGTTCTTTCTGGCCAGGGATGATTTGGCCCAGTTTATCACTTGGCTGACCACTTTGAACACCTTTTCAGAAAGGCCTCCTCTGATCAGCCAATCTAAAATTGTCATCTCCTCTCCCTGTGGCTCTTCATTACATCATCCCATTTTAATGTCTTCATTATCTGAAATTATCTTCTTTATTCATGTCTTTTCTTATTTACTGTCCATTTCCCTCCACCATTAGTTGTAAGCTCCATGAATAGAGGAACCTGTCTTGTTCCCTGTTGTATCTCCAGCATCTCACACAGTAAATCTTCAACCAGCACTTGTTAAGTGAAAAACGAGATGAATGGATGGGTGGATAAAAGGAAGAATGGAAGGATGGATGATGGAAGGGTTCAATAGATGAAAGGATGGATTGATGGGTGGGTGGAAGGATGGATTATGGAAAGATGGATAAAAGGAAAGATGGAAGGATGGGTGCTAGAAACATGGACAGAAGGATGGAGTAGATTAATAAAAAGGAAAAATGGATGATGGAAGGACAAATCGATGGATAGGAAGAATGTGTGAAAAAATGTATGAAAGATGAATGAATGAACAGATGAAAGGAAGGACAGATAGATAGATGGGTTTGGGTAGTGATTCAGCTTTAGCACCTAGTTGAGAATCATTAACTCTGTTAATGGTGCAGTAACAGAAAATGAAAAGGCAAATAGAAGGTGAGTGGACAAGAGAAAGCTGTATCTTGGCCCTTTTGCTTTTTTTCTCTCATAACTTGTATCTTTATTCCCAGTATGGTGGGTGGCAATGCATGGAGTGGAAAGAACCCTATATTTGAAATTAAAAGGTCTGTGCTTGAAAAACTTGGCTATTTAGTATTATTATGACTCTGAATATACTTTTCTTTTTTAAACCTCAGCTTCCTTATCTATAAAAGTGGAATAATACCAACCTCTTGGGGTTATAATCCCCCCAAAAATAGCCCACTGCCATTGAGTTGATTCTGACTCATAGTGACCCCCACTGGGTTTCCAAGACTATAAATCTTTGCAGAAGTAGATTCCTTCATCTTCCTCCCACAGAGCAGCTGGTAGGTTTGAACCACTGACCTTCTGGTTAGCAGCCAAATGCCTGACCCACTATGCCAGCAGAGCTCTTGGGCTTATGGTGAGGATTAAATGAGAAATAAGTTATATGCGTAGATAGTTGGACTGAATGACTGAGCACACAGATGTGCATAATAAATGAACACTTCCTGCCTTCCACAATTGATTAAAGAATGTCATTGGTATGCTTTCCTTTAAACACTTATTATGTGCCTAGCACAAAGCAGAGTCTCTAGGTGGTGCAACAGTTAATGCCCTCAGCTGCTAAATGAAAACTTGGGTTTGAGTCCACCCATAGGTAACTTGAAAAAAATACCTGGTGATCTACTTCTGAAAAATCAGCCAATGAAAACCCTATGAAGCACAATTCTACTCTGACACATGCAGGGTCATCATGTGTCAAAGTTTACTCCACTGCCACTGGTGGAGCATAAAGTGTTGTTCAATGAATCTTCCTTGATTTGAATGGAAAGGACTGCCATTCAGTCAAATGGGAGATCATGGGCAGTGGTAACAGATGGACAAATAATTTTTCTACAAAAAAATTCCTTAACAATTCATGCACAGCAGAGTTCTGAGAAACCAGGTGATGTATTTAAATATCCTGAAAATGCAATGAATGCAACTAGTTGGGAACCCTTCTACCTTGTAAGGCTAGGATGCTCCTTTTGCAAAAAGTAGCTGTGCCCCCCCCCCCCAACACCTTCTCAGGATGAAGTCTTCCTGGAAACAACCTGGGGTCCTTTGATAAGAAGTCCATGCCTTCAAGCTACCTCATAGGTCAGACTCTGGGCCCCAGGGACCCCTTGCCCTGTGCCTACCCTGGGGAATGGTTCATAATTAAGAGAAAAGCCCTGTGCTTTACGTTTCTTCCTCCTCCTCTGAATAGGAGGCAGGGGAAGGTGGAGAGGTTGGAAGGGGGATGGGGGAGCAACTGGAGCCTAGGATTTTGATTGAGAGGCCCCATTATCCACACTCTTAAAAAAATAACCGAATCTTTTCCTTTTTTATCTTGACCAATCTCATTTCACGCTCCAGAAGAGGGAGGGAGGGAGGGAGGGAGTCTGGGGGGCCAGGAGGGAGAGAGGAGTCAGTATTCTGTATTTTCAACACTGCATTAAGCACATCTCCACGGTAACCAGGCAGCAACAAGTGCCAGCTCAGCAGGTTCCCAGGGAGTGCACAGCCTTCTTCCCTCCCTTTCTCTCCCTCTCCTCCCTCTGCCCTGGAGAACCCAGCCCACCTGCCTCAGCACAGGGCACCTAGGGTGGGTGGCTGGCAAAGATTAACCCCTGCCAGGGAGGGAGAGAATCAGGCCTGGATGAATGTGCTAAGTCTTTGGTTCAGAGCCAGGGAGGCTGGCCCAGGGCTGGCATAGGGGTCACAGATGCCCCAAGTTTAGAGCCCTTTCCAGAGGTGCCAGGCCTCAGGCCTCTCTGGGCAGTGGAAATGGCTCAATTCTACCCCACTTACCCCTGAGTCCTTCCTTTATGGTTCCTGAAAGAATAAGACTTGTCCAAAGAAATTCCCATTGTTCTCCTTACTTGTTCAGACTTATAGTCTCCTTTGGGTGATAATCACACTGACAAAGAAACCTAAATGATCAACAGCAAGATTCCAGGACAGTCCAAATGAGGATAAAGAAATATTCCCAGCTCATCTTACATTCAAGGGTTGGTGAATGTGGGGTGGGAACAAGAATATATTTTAATCATCATCATCATCATTCATATTTTACAGAAGGGGTAAACTGAGACCAATCAAAGTTAAATAATGGGGAGACTATATACTGCTTAAGGGTGGGTTTATATTTGGCTCACAATTGTTTTGCTGGCCCTAGAGTGCTCTCCAAGGAGCTCTGGTGGTGCAGTGCCTAAGGCATTGACTGCCAACCAGAAGGCTGGTGGTTGAAACCCACCAACCACCGCACAGAAGGAAGATGGGGCAATCTATTTCCGTAAAGATTTACCACCTCAGAAACTCAATGGGGGTTGCCATGAGTTGGAACTGACTCAACGGCAGTGAGTTTGGTTCTTTGGTAGAGTGTTGTTCAGCAACACTCATTGAACTAATGAAAGATGCTTGTCTGAGTCCATGCTGGTCCCTCAGTCCCTTGCTTTTCCTGATAGTGGGTAACCTGGAAGTTGGCTGGCCTCTGAGAAGGAGACTGTGCTGGGGAGAGGTGAGGAGCCAGGACTGAGGTCTTTTCTCCAGGTATTTACAAGAAGATGTATCCAGTGGTCGATCTTTCCATGCCCTTTGAGAAGTCTAAGTATGAAGCACTCCTAACATCTTTCTTGCCCCTTCTTGCTCCCCTGTTCCCAGCAGTTCCTCTTTGCAATGCTCCCCTGCCCTGCCCACTTCTGCCCCCTCCCTCTTACCTGCCACCATGCCTGCGATGGCAGAAGAGGCATAATTGCCCTGTCCGCTGGTGGGGATGTGGGGTGGGTATCCGGGCAGCGTGGACCCCACCATCTCACGGCCTGGAAAAATAGAGCAGAGAGACATCATTTGAGATATGGTGGGCTCCTGTACTTTCCGTCTTGTTCCCCTGAGGCTCAGCAAGCCTGCCCTCATGCCATTCACACTCTCACCGAAGCCACTCTTCAAACCCACTTCTTTCCTTCTCCTCTGAGCCCAAGTTCCTCTTTCCTCTTTCTGGTCTTTAACAGGACAAAAACTCCATCATGCAGGGTGTCCTCCAATGTTTTTATTTATGTGAATCATTCACTCAGAAAAATGCCATGTTACTAGAGACTAGGACCTGACCTCGTAAGTCTTCATTATCCCCCACAGCACCTGGAATCAGGGCTTTGAATCAATTCTACCCAGTTTAGTCATGGCCTACAAAGGGAAACTGGAATGGACCTAAATTTGTAAAATGTGGGTGAACGAGAATGATATCTGGAATGGGAAATATTATAAGTCAATGCCCTGCTAGAAACTTAATCTCCCTCTTAGAAAACAAGAGCAGTATGCACGATGCATAGCAGCCATATCTGTTGACCAGCAGAGTTGGAAACCTCAGTGCTCAGCTCAAAGATGGTGGCTAACCGCACTGCTTTGAATGTGTGTTGTTCTCCATAATAATAATAATCCAGTCTCCTGCATCTGGCTCCTGCCATGGCTCACCAAGTCTCTTCTGAGTCTCCCATTCCAAGGTTTTGACCTGTAATTTTTCCCATTCAGGCTATTATTCCAATTCACTTAAATTTTAAAAATTCGGATCTGTTCTGATTTCACCTCATCAGCCACAACTGAATCGGTTTGAAGCCCTGCCTAGCATAGCAGTGGGCACAGCTGGTCTAAATAAATACTTTAGAGGTTGTTTAACTCAGAGTTCATATCCATTTCAGGCCCTGGCTCTGAGAAGAACCAAAAATTCAGCCTTACAAAAGATGGCATGGGTGTGGTCCACTGTCCCATCACTATTCTTTCTGGGCCTGTGGCAGGCATTGTGAATCAATCACTACACACTTTCCCACTGAGCCAGAGAAGAGTTCCTACACCTGCACCTGGGCTCCCAGGTGGTTACAATCCATCAGATTTGCAAGGGACATGAAACCTATTGACCATCTATGACCCAGAAAAAAGAAGTGGAATGAGAGATGTTTAGCATTAACAAAGGGCCATGAACTACATGCCTGTAGATTCTGTTCCCAAAAAGAACAACTTCCAGCAAAACAGACATCAATCTCTTTGTTTATCTATAATTTGGAGATGGTGGATAATTTGTGGGTAACACCCTAGCCTTGTTGACACTGCGAAGCTCAGTAAAAACCCAATTTCCCTGGATTAGCCTCTCCTTTATATAGGAATGTAAACCTTCTGATTTTGGAGATCTCACCTGGCCTGGTTAGTTTCTCCCATGTATCCCATATGCCAACAACCACAATCCCGTACATACAGCTCTTCTTCCATCACCCCTTGTCCTGTGGACACTGACCAGATTCTCCCCTACCCAAAGATTCTTGATGAAGAGACCATTCATCCTGGTTTGCCCCAGTCAGTCCAGGTTATTCCCACTGGCCCAGAGTACTTATTAATGGTGCCCATTTCACTCTCAAAATGCTCTGGTATGAATGATGAATTATTCAGACATCTTGTCCTTGTTGGTATTTACAGGGTTCACCAACCTTGGCAGTACTAACATTTTGGACCAGATAAATGTTTTACTGTAGGGAGCTGCCCTGTGCCCTGTAGGATGTTTAGCAGCATCCCTGGCTTCTAACCACTAGATGTTGGAAGCAGTCATCATCCAATGTGACAACTAAACATGTTTCTAGATATTGCAAAATTTCACTGGGGGGAGGGGGGACAGAACTGTCCCTAGTTAAGAGGCGCTGTGTGAGAATATGGCAGTTTTACCCAAATGTTTTCTAAATGTCTTCTGCCTCTTCCATACTTGGGACTGCTTTTTCTCCCCAAGACTTAGAAGGCCACTGTGAGCTCCTGTTAACCAACTTACCAAGTCAATCCCCTCTATGGCACGGCAAGTCCAACCTTCCTCCCATCAGTACCCCAAGGTCCTTCATACCTCAGCCCCATGAGGGGTTGCTAGTATGATGGAAGGGAAGGTATATCCCATGAAACCCTATGAGTTGGTAGTACAACAGTAACTAGCTCCGCCCACTCTCTGTGGTTTCCCTGGGGACAATTTCATTCATTCAACAAATTTACTGAGTAAATACTATGTTGTAGTGTGCTGTCGAGTTGATTGTGACTCAGAGCGACCCTACATGACAGAGTAGAACTATCTTCCTAGATGATAATCTTTACAGGAGCAGATTGCTGAGTCCTTTATCCTGTGAAGTGGCTGAAGGGTTTAAACCACTGACCTTTCTGTTGGCAGTCAGGTATTTAACCACTGTGCAACCAGACCTCCTTAAATACTATGTACTAGGCACTTTTCTAGGCAACTTGGAATGCAGCAGAGAATAAGAATGCAAAATTAACAAGGCCAGACACTAAACCAAGATGGGACATAGGGTGAAATGTGTATTTGAAACCAAGCCTAAAGAGCCAACAAGCAAAATCAGGCATACTCAACTTCTGTTCTTCCCCTGGAAGGGGAGCATCTAGGAATCAGAAGACATGGGCTTTATTTTGCTTCTATCACTAATTTTCTCAGGGCCCTTAGACAAGCTACTTGCACACCTCAAGCTTCAATTTCCTCACATGTAAAATGAGGAAAAGTAAGAGTAGCTTTACACAACTTATTATTACTGCAGATGACACAACCTTGCTTGCTGAAAGTGAAGATGACTTGAAGCACTTACTGATGAAGATGAAAGACTACAGTCTGCAGTATGGATTACACCTCAACATAAAGAAAATGAAAATCCTCACAACTGGACAAATAAGCAACATCACCATAAATGGAGAAAAGATTGAAGTTGTCAAAGATTTCATATTACTTGGTTCCACAACCAACATCAATGGAAGCAGCAGTCAAGAAATAGACAACTTATTGCACTGGGCAAATCTGCTGCAAAAAGACCTCTTTAAAGTGCTGAAGAGCAAAGATGTCTCTTTGAAGACTAAGGTATGCCTAACCCAAGCCACAGTGTTTTCAGTTGCCTCATATGCATGTGAAAGTTGGACAATGAATAAAGAAGACCAAAGAAGAGTCGATGCTTTTGAATTGTGGTGTTGGCAAAGAATACTGAAAGGACCGTGGACTGCCAGAAAAATGAGTAAGTCTGTCCTGGAAGAAGTGCAGTCAGAATGCTCCTTAGAAGCGAGAATGGCCAAGCTTCATCTCACCTACTGTGGTCATGCTGTCAGAAGGGACCATTCCCTGGAGAAGGATATCATGCTTGGTAAAGTGGAGGGTCAGCGAAAAAGGGGGAAACCCTCAACAAGATGGACTGACGCAGGGGCTTCAACAATGGGCTCAGTATGGCAAGGCTTGTAAGGCTGATGCAGGACCAGGCAGTGTTTCGTTCTCTTGTACACAGGGTGGCTATGAGTCGGAGACAATTCGACAGCACCTAACAACCACCCCCACCTGATGCTATCATCTAATTCAGAGCCAGGGTTTCACACTTTGGATGAACCTTCACTGGCACAATGGACACATTCTAGAAATGGTTACATACTGATAGAGCTTTTATAAAACAGATCCTATTTGAATAAGCCATCAATGCTCATTATTTAAAACACTATGAATGTTCTGATAAAACTGACTACCATCCTCTAATTTGTTTGATGTTAAATATAGTGTCCAGTTATGGTTGGCACTGGACCAAATAGGGTAGAAGCCACTGGAATTCTACAGGTAGTTTCAGTTCACTGACACAGGATCAGCAGGGGAACAATGGAAGAGATGGAAACACAGGTGATGAAAAGGAAATTCTAGCATATTTAGAAGTAGAAGGACACATATGCAGAAGATATGTGGTTGTTTTTGTTGTGCACTATTGACTTGCTTTTCGACTTACAGCAACCCCATGTGATAGAGTGGAACTGTCTCTATAGGGTTTTCTAGGCTGTAATCTTTCTGGGATCAGATGGCCAGGTCTTCCCCCTGTGAAGCCACTGAGTGGGTTCGAGCCACGAACCTTTTGTTTAGTAGTTGAGTGCCTAACTGTTGTGCCACCAGGGCTCCTTGCAGAAGTTATACCAAAATAAAATCTGATCTTTCTGCTAAGAAGCCTGCATTATGACAAACTCATCTACTCCACTCTGAAGGCATTCCATGAAGCACCTGGCAAAACCCCACCCCCTCCAGCACATGTAAGGAAAGGAGCAGGATGATGGAAGAGGAAAGTGGTTGATTCAGGCCTGATGCTGGCTCCCTTCCTTCTTCACTCCCTACTACCTTCTCCCTGAGGGAAAACTCCAAGCCTGATTTTGCCAGGTTCAGACAGTGGCTGACGGAAAATCACTTAATTTTTCTAAACCACATCTTTCCATCTATCACATGAGGAGTGAGTTTAGATCAAAGATTATAAATAGGTTTAACCTACACTGATTGATTTGTACTGGAGTACTTCCTCACTTTCCAGGGCACTGTGTTGGATTCTGAAGGTGTACCCGTGTCTACCATAACTTGGGAAGTATCAGCTTTCAGTCTACCTATTTGCCAGTGCTGGCCTAGGTACTCTCCAGGACTCCTTCTGACTCGGTTGCTCTGTTGTCATAGGCCCCCCCTACTCCTGTTCTCATCCTGTTTCTTCCCAACACCTAACCCTGCTGTTCTTGAGCTGTGCAGCTCAGTGGCCTGAGCATCAGGGCACATGCTCCCTTAGGCCACAATTTAATTTAGTCCACAGGTGCCCCACATGGGGCCCTATTCCATAAGAACTAGCCCCAAAACTGTTCTTAGAAATTGAATTCATAGGCCTTATTCCCCTGTATTCAAGAACTTAACCTTCCTCTCCCTTCAGTCATCTAATTTTCTCCCAGTGGAACAAAAGTATCTAAATTAAACTCCAGCTCAGATCCTGACAGTTTCTTCCCATGAAACTTGGCCTCCCTGAGAAGGCTGGGAAGATGTTCTCAGGTCTGCTCTTACCTAGACTGTATTGCCACAAACTTGTATTAGTATAGTAATACTACTATTTTAACACTCTTTGTCTGCTCCACCTTCTTAGATATGTGGTTTCATCCCAAAAGTCAAGAACCTTACAACCTTCTTAGAAATGAAACCACAGAAGCCACAAAGGCCTCTTCATCATGGCCTCTTCATGCCCTCTTTTCTGGTTATTGAAAGGAGTCCCAAGGTGGTCCAAATGGTTAAGTGCTTGACTACTAACTGAAAGGTTGGCAATTCAAAACCACCTCAAGGTGTCTTAGAAAAAATGTCCGGTGATCTGTTTCTGAAAGATTACAGCCATGAAACCCCAATGAAGTGTAGGTCTACTCTGACATACATGATGTTGCCATGAGTTGGGATTGACTCTTTGGCAACTTTTTTCAATTATATTTCTAACCACAGTGTGGCAGTCTATCTCCTCTGCACCCCAATATACTTCAAATAGGGCCCTATTTTTAAGAAGCAGACACAGACACAGGTTCATTATGGCTGGTTGTGGAATGGGGTTCTATAAGTGTTTTCTATAAGAAAATGCCAGCACTCTAGAAATGTTGGTAAAAATTCTAAATACTGGTAAAGACGAGGTCGGAAAATTATTACCTGGAGGAATTCAGAAGGTGGAGGTGAATTCAGACCATTTTATTTGTCCCCTTTGATGTCTGCCCTCTGTGTGACCCCTTTCCAATGCCTTATCTTGTTCTGATAGCAAGGAGAATTTATGGCAATCCAGAAATCTCTCTGGCAGGACTAAATATAATTTTGTACAAAAGGATGGAGGAGGGTAATGAACTCTTTGAAAGCCTCCTCTCCTGATAAAACCTAACTCAAAGCTTTCCCATAGCTGAGCCAGAGCAGCCTTGAGAGCACTGTTTTTCCAGTGTGTCTAGAGCCTGGACTACAGCATCCAAAGTGAACTGGCAGGAATGTTAGGGGCAAATCCCACTGTTCCCCAAATTCTGATGTTTCCTTTCTCTAGGTTGACTGGGGAGAAACTGAGATCCAAGATATTTAGGTCTAATCTTAACCAGAGGCATCAGATGTATAGGATTTAAAGAGCTTTAGCCCAATACCCAAAGGAGCTCTAGTGGCGTAATGGGTAAGGCATTTAACTGCTAACCAGAAAGTCAGTGGTTCAAACCCACCAGCTACTCCATGGGAGGAAGATTAGGCAATCTACTTCCATAAAGATTTACAGCCTTGGAAACCCAAGGAGGGCTGCTATGAGTTGGAACTGACTTAGTGGCAGTGGGTTTGGTTTGTGGTTTTTCAGCCCAACATCCTGGACTTAGCACAACGAGTGAAGCGGGACCCAGTTCTGTGAACCAAAGCTTCCTGTTCTTGGCAACCTGCCCAGGATTCCAGCTCCTCCAAGACTGGCCAGTGCCTTGGCTCTTCTCAGAGCCTTCACCTCTGTGCTGAACCTTCAACCCTCAGGCTGGGCCCTGTGGCTGGCCATCAGCCTTCATGGGTGCTTACATGTTGCACTACACCATCATCTGAGCTTGGCTTTGAGGACCTCCCTTCCTAAGGACATGCCAGTGCTGCATACTGGGCACTCATTGTTCAGCTCCTGGCCAACTGCTGACTGCATGAGCACCTGGTATCTGCTGCCAGCTGTTTTGCCCAATGGGCTGGATGAACTCTAGTCCTGAAGCTAGTCTGGAAAGTGGGCATATGCACTCCAACAGAAGCTGATAGAAGTTGGAAGTGTCACCCTGATTTGATTGGATGTTGACAGGGAATACCTGAAGCCCTAGAAAGGGTGGCAAGAAGTGGAAAAGGTATGAAGGCTTTGGGGTACAGGTTTCTTCCAAATGTACTTCAAACCACAGCCAGAATCTGATATATTAGCTTCCACTGTCATTTGCCTTTCCCTTTCCTCTCAGTGCGTCCCACCACGCCTCTCCACAGCATGCACAGGACCTGAGGAACTGTTCTCCATCATCAGATGCTTCACTAATACCCTCATCTCTTACCTGTTTTCTTGCAACCCTTCAGGCCCCAGCCTGCCTTTCATGTGAGCCACACAGGCTTGCCAGTGATTGGGTCCAACCACCCCCTAGCAGATATGAACTGCCTCTACTCACCTTCCTCCTCCCCTCCCCATCTCATTTTCTCAGGCTGACATCATTCTACTCAGCTCACAGATTTTTGTCCATTAATCACTTAGGTCAAAACAAATGACCTGTCTGCTGATTTTACCCTCTTTTGAAATTTACAACTCTGAGCCAACACTTTCTTCCTCACTTCAGACCTTTCAATGTCTCTCTGCCCACATTCTGAGCTTCCTTTTTTCAGCCTTTACCTCTGTGCTCACCTCTTCCCAAAAGACCTCCTACTCTACATATGGGGATACACAGAGAAAAATAATCTAGGTGCCAGACAGACTGATGAAAACATGGTCAGTTATAAGGACAGGTTGATGGACTGAATAAGGTGACCTTGTACCCCTCTGGGCTGGCAGAGATCTTGGTCTGGTGCTGTGGTTTTCAATCTAAGGGCTTTTGAAGAAACGGGTTCCTACTTCTAAAAGAGTCGCTCTTCATTTGTATGTTTCTCATACATGGCTTCTGTAAAGATGCTCATTTCAAGAGTGTGGTGGGGCCCAACAGATCCAGGTGGGCTGATTCTGGGTTGTCTCTAGGACAGCTCCCCCTGCTTCTCACTTGTTTCTGCTCTAACAGGTAGCAGGGATGAAACGTGGGAGACATCCATGCTGTCACTAAGTACCCCCACTCCCTGCAGGCAGCTCTACAATTCTTCCTTACTGAACTGGAATCTGCTGCACTTCTGGCTTCCTCCATTGGTCCTGGTTCAATGCTTTGGGCCCTCATCCAAAACAGTCTCATCCCTGTGTAAGTCCTTCAGCTATGTGAAGGCTGTTACGGGTCTCTGCCCTGCCCACACTCCACCTCAGGTTTTCTCCAGTCCATGCAAACACTCTTGGTTCTTTTAGCCGTTCCTCAGGACCTGGCTGGCTGAGCTGCCAGGGAGGCAACCACAAGGGTCTGACCCACATGGCTCAGGCCAGCCCTCACCCTGCTGAACACCATACTCCTATCTAGGGACCTTCACACAGGTCCAGCCCCTCTCTGGGCCTGTGTCTTCATCTTTGAAAAAGAGAATTTCCTCTACATGGCCTCTATGGCCTTTGTAGCTTTACCTTTTTTTGAAGGCCAATCAGATTCTTAATGGTAAGGCCTCCATCCCCTCATCTCCCAAGTCATTGAGTCCCTCTGAGTTTATCCTGTTTAAAAAAACTATTGAGTGTCCTCAGTGGTTGATTCCTTAAGATAGCTATAATGATAGCTATGTTATGAGGACTCAATTGGGGCTGACCCTCTGCCTTCTTTAGAAATTTGGTCTAAGAAATTGGCTGAAAAAAGCCACTGGCTTTTTCCCTCCAAAGTTTTGTTTTTCTTTTTTTCCTAGTTCATCACTTTACAGTACCTGACACCTGGCCTTATGGTCCTCACATTTCCACCGGGCCTTGTGGCAGGATTCTGGAAACCTGCCAGGCACCCACTTTCTTGGTATCCCAGAGTCCCTGCTCCTTTTTGAGGCCTGATTTGGCAAGCATGGAGAAACACATCTTGGTACCTCCAAGAGTTGCCAGAGGAATTAGGGAAGATGATGAAGGTGGACATACCTGGAGGTCAAAACGGGCTAGATGCAAAGCAGGAGGACAGGTGGCTGGCTCTGAACACCCCCCCTCCCGCCTCCCACGACACCAGCATGGCCCAGGAACCTCCCTGTCGTACCTGAGAGGAGGGCCTGGCCCGTGAACTGCCCGTACACGGAGGCAGCATGGGGAAAGGCATTGAAGGGCGGGACCGAGGCACCGGCTGGGACCCCGGAGCCGACTTGCTGCAGATCCAAAAAGGCGGAGCTAGATAAAGAGGAAGGGGTGGAGCTAGAACTGGACACCTCGGGGGTTTCCTGCTTTATGGCGAAGGGTGAATGAGGATCTGCCGGAGGGAGGGAGACAACAAGGAGAGAGGGGTGTGAGATGATGGGGTGGGAACATGCACAAACCAAGCCATGAGATGTGGGGAAGGGTGTGGCGGATGGGGCACTGAGGCAGGCAGACCTGGGCTCCTCTGTGAGTAGGGGGTAGGGAAGGAAAGGCCAGAAGGTGTTCCTCAGGGTGAGTGAGGACAGGAGAGATAAGGTCTACCTCCCTTTGTGTCTACTTCTGTGTGGGTGCAGTGACTGTGAGAGAATATGTGTGCCCCTCTCTCCCCACAGTGGGTGGGTAAGGAGATGGCATGACCCTCTTGACCAACCTTGAGTCCCAGCCAGCACAGCCCACGTCTCCTCACAAGCCCAGGGCCCCATCTGCCTTTCTCCTTGCAGCCAGCCAAGATCTGCCTTCCCCTGCCCTCCAACCCACCCTTGCAGCTGGGTCCAGATGACCCATGAGACTCTGGGCTCCATACCTGTCACCACGGGGTACGTCTGGTGAGTTGAGAGGTTGCGCCCCAAAGGTGTATTAGAAGGAGTCAAGGTGGCCTTCCCATCATCCAGGGTGCTATTGAGCAAGGGCAGTGGGTAGAGGCCCTGGAGAAGGAAGAGAAGTCAGCACACAGTGGCCCAGCAAGGCTGCTTTGTGCCTCCAGGTAAGCAAGGGCAAACAAGGCTTTCCAGAAACCCTGCAGAGACAAGTCTGTAGAACTTGGCTGCCCTGGTCTCCCTAGAAAAACACCTTTCCTCATTGTTCTCATCTTCTCTTTCTTTCTAGACTTCACTGAGTTCTTCTCAAACTGACAGCCTTACTGTTCATCTCCCAACCCCAGGCTCAGGGCTGCCCCTTCTGTGTTCCTGGAATTCAGTGCCAGTGGTGGAACACAAGCCTAGGAATTGCATAGAGCATTTCCTGCAAAGGAGCAAGTCCTGGTTGGAATGCTGATCTCCTTCCTTGTCTCCTTATACTGTTTGGCCTCATTGAGTATAAGATGGGATCAAAGGCTGGGGCAGTCAGCTCACAGCACTGTTTAGAGTGCTTCACTCTTATCAATTAATTTAATCCTCTCCAAATAGGAAAGTGTAGCACAAAGGATTAAGAAACTTGTCATACTTCCATATAGGGCAGACAGGATTCAAACCTAGGCAGCTTGCCTCCAATGTCCATGCTCTTAAGCACTGCCCTAAACAACAATAACAAAACAACCAGACTCACGGCTGTCGAGAAAATTCAACTCATAGCGACCCCTTCTTGGGTTTCTGAGGGAGTATCTCTATGGAAGTAGATTGTCCAATCTTCTTTCTGAGGAGTGGCTGGTGGGTGTGAACCACCAGCCTTCTGGTTAGCAGTCAGATGCCTTAGGCACTACGCCACCAGATCCCTAAAATGGATAACCCAATAACCATTCCTTATAGCTGAAGATAGTTTACATCAGGGCTTTGATTATGATAGCCTGATAGATACCCTCAACAGTCCTGTAATGTGAACAAAGTAAGTCATGTACATTTTATATGTGGAAGACTGAAGCCAAGAAGAGTAAATGTCTTAGACCTATATAATAAAACTGGGACTAAAACCCAGGATTTCACCATCACAGCAACTGTGGTATCTCATCAGAACAGGTGGACTTATTCTTCTCTCTTTTCATATCTAAGCAAATATAAACTTGTAGGTTCAGCTTGAAGATAATATTTGGTTTACAGGCCTATTACCAAATTCCTGGGAATTAAGAAAATCTCATTTTATATTCCTATTGACCTTCTCTGACATTAGCACAGCTATCTCATAAGGTGCTCTTTCAAAAGAGAGTACAATTCAAGTTCAATTCTACTAAAAAATCCAGTCAACCATATGGATATTTAAGCTTTTCAGTGCAACATCACCAAAGTATTTGACTATTTAGGTTTTTGTTTTTTTTTTAATCTTCTTCCTTTTGCAATGAATTGCCTGAATTTTGGAACAGATATAGGATTTTGGGGCACTCTGGTGCTCTGGTGATGACTGGAGTGTGAAAGCTGGAAACAAAGAAGAATTACCAGTAGTTGGAAAATTTGGCTTTGGTGACAGAAATAATGCTGGAGATTGCATAATAGACTTTTGCAAGACCAAGGACTTATTCATTGCAAGTACCTTTTTTAACAACACAAATGGTGGCTATACATGTTGACTTTGCCAGATGGAATACACAGGAATCAGATTGACTACATTTGTGGCAAGAGGCAATGGAAAAGCTCAATATCTTCA